TTATTTAACCAGGGGTCGGTCCCCTGGGACGGCCCTCACGACTGGACACCCTCCAGCCACTCATCCCATCACCGGGCACGTCACAGGCTTAGGATTAGGGCATTTTTTATAGAGGTTTGCATCCTCGCGGCCCCTACTAGGCAGCGGCCCCCGCCCCCCACCAAGTGGGGATTACGGTATGGGACAACCCTTGGGACTAGACTCCCTCCAGCCATTCATCCCATCGTCAGGTGTCAAAAACTTGGGATTGGGGCATTTTTTATAGAGGTTCGCATCCTCACGGCTCCTGCTAGGCAGCAGCCCCCGTCCCCTACTCGGTAGGGATTGCGGTGTGCTTCTTCGAAGCCACGCCGGTAAACCGGTACCCCCCTTTGGGGGGCCTTCCCCTGTAGCCGCCAAGAGGCAGCCGGGGACATGGCAACCAGCGACCGGAAGGGAGTGCCCTCCGGTTCACTTCTCATCCACGTGGGGTCTACCATTACTGACAGACCCACACGTCTGACCACGGTGTGGCCACGCCGGCGTACCGGTACCCTCCTCTGGAGGGCCTTCCCCTTTAGCAGCCAAAAAGCTGCCGGGGACATGGCCTAGCATTCAAGACGGCTCCAGAAGGGAGCCATCTCCCGCTTCACGCACCCTTTGTCCAGCAAAGGTGGGAAAACGGGAACACGGTGTGCAGTCCTCTTTGTTCACGGCACCCCTGTGCAGACAACGCTGCTCCACGGTATCGGGGTGCACGCTTAAGCCCCACCGCCGCGACAAGGCGAGACCACGTTCGGTGGGGAGACTAAGTATATAAGCAACTTTCACTAAAATTACCTAATTCCTTTAATACCAATTTTGAGTTGATTGGTATCCATCTATACCTATAAATAAAATTGGAGTATCTGTTTGTAATATTGAAATAACCGCTTTTTACTACATGCATATGAATATCGCTTCGGTAACATTAAATCACTTCGGTAACATCAAATTTTATTATTGATAGCTGAGTCCCGCGATGCTACCCGCGGTTATTGTCGTACAGCGGGTGACGCCGCGGGGCGAAGCTAGTCTAAAAAAAGTAGCCTAAGATACTCCTTATATCATCAGCTATATGTCAGTTACAGTCCCATCAAAATCGGTTCAGTCGTTCCAGAGATTAGCCGGAACAAACAGACCGACAGACAGACAGTCAGACAAAAATTGTAAAATTAAAATATATATATATATATATATGAGTATATGTATGTACTGTGTATAGATACTTACGGATTTAGTAAAAAGTCGTTATTTTATTATTACAAACCGACACTCCAATTTTATTTATTTGTATAGATGTGTGTAATTAAAAATCAATACATACTTATTTTTATGTTTGTTTTTACTCATACAATTATGATGAATCTTCTTAAAGTTGTTGCTTAGGTTCTAGGAAAGGTTCCTGCCATTGATCCCCTGGATCAACTCTCGGTGCTTTTAGGTTCTTCAAACACCGGCCACCGTCCTCGTCGAACTCGTCGACGAAGAGTTGTTGTTTTGATAATTTTAGCAGCTTACGTTCATGAACTTAAGGGCCTGTGCACACCACGTTTTTTATCCTACAGAGCGGTTTGTTGTTGTCTGTATTGCTACAAACGCGCGTCGACGGCGCGTTTTTATCCCACGGAATGGTTTCTTGTCGTTTTTATCGATACAAACGCGTATTTGAATTTATACAGGTGTGCAAAGGTCTACAGGCTGCGTCTGACTTGCGTGCGTATCGCGTCTGTATCGCTACGAACGCGCGTCGATGGCGCGTTTAAAAAACGTCGTGTGCACAGGCCCCTACTAATATTTTCTGCGCTAAATGAGACTACAGATAATACCGTACCATGAAGGATAGAACTTAGGAGGACCATCTTGTATAAGGGACAAGTTGTAAGTGTCTACCTGTAAACAGCCAGTTATTACTTACCTTTTTTATTTGTGAACATGTTGATTACAACCGGTTGTATAGCGTTGTATTAAATTTTGTAAATACATATGGCTTCAAATATTGTCAAATACTTTAGTTAAAAAAAATATTAAATAAATTAACTCTATATCAAATTTCTAGTAATACTGCAGACATGTTGTCTTCAAGGATGCTTGTGAACAATAATTATGATCAACATAAAGGATGGACCTAATAATATTAATAAAAGCTTTAAATTCTTATTTATTTCTTGTCGTTGACCCTAAAGGCACTCTAACAAAAACGATTTCGACTCGCGCGTATGCCACACTGATCTGTTTTGTGTTTAAATCTGACCACACAGCTTAACCATGCAACTGTCGATAGCTACCAAGTTTTATGAAATAATATTGACGATCGTGTAAGTTCATTAAAGATTGTACGACTACGTTAATTCTTCCAGTGTGATGCCAAAAATATCATCCCAAATTTGAGCGTACCGTACAATGGGGTAAATAGGGACAAAATCGACCTTCAGATTGAATTTTAAAATAGTTCCAATTAAATAGTCACTGCTCAACCAAAGAAATAAGTTGAGTCTTGAACGTACCTAGGTGATAAAAACCGTTACATTATTTTAATTATTCATTTTAAAGAAATAATCGGTAAAATAATGGCCGTCCCAATTTACCCAGCGTCCGGGGTAAATTGACACGGTTAAGGGTTAAATTGGGATATTTGTAAGGGTTGTCAACTCGCAGTACTGCGATATATAGGTAGGTGCCATATAATTATTTATATGGACCGAAATGATGAATACAATCCATAATTTAAGCACAATACACAACATAGTGTAAATTAAGCTGGTTTCTATTCCGAAGCGATGTGACGTGAATGATAATCAACAATACAATGATCAAAAAAAGTATGTGCATGTTATATTTTAGAAAATTATTATTTAATTTCCTTAAAAATCACAACTCTGAAACAAAATCATAAAATAGAATAAAAAATAGAAAACAAAAGGACTGGAAATGCAATAATACAATTTTATTTAATCAACATTTTCAAAATAATCTTTGAGCAAGAGTAAGATATCAGGTGAATAAGATAAAAAAACAGCTTTATCTGATTACTGCCAATAATAACAAAAATAAAAGAAATTCTTTCTAAGCTAAATAACTAAACTCAATTAATTCACTCACTCATAATTGGATATCTCGGATTTTTAATTAATGTTACATTTAAAATCTGAGGCCTGTTTTTATTTGTGTGTGCGTTTTGAATGTTAACAAAATCATGATTCGACGCGTGAATAGATTCTGAAATAACAAAAGTTTTGATTCGTTTGAGTTCTTTTAACTTTTAATTTTTTTTATTGCTATAAAGAACATACGACCGGGCAGATATTACAAGGTAAATGTCGCGAAAAAAAAGTAATTATATATATACTTTTCTTTTACCTATAATACTTACATAAACTAACTGATAAACACATTAACCTTCTTTACATCACGCAATTAAGTGATAGTATAGGCTAAAAAATCTATTATAAGATATCAGTGACAACCCTAACAAGCCATCCCTATTTTGTCTTTTGGCGTTCCAATTTTGTGTTTTCTCGTCCCTAATTTTTCCAGTCTCGTTCCCAATTACCCTACATACGTCCCAATTTTCCCCAAAAAGAAAGGAAAAAATATACATTTTTTATTTTGTCGAAATATTGTATTTAAAATAAGAATATTGCAACTTACCGTTTGTTGTGGTATTTCCAGGTGTATTAAAAACTTATATAAACTGTGATCTTATTGAAAAAACAACGATAATATTACTTTTTTTAAAAGTTCTTTAAGCTGTTTTAAAACGCACTTTTCAACCACTATTTTAAATTTAATTTGACGAATTTTTGGGACCAACTTAACTCATGTTTAGTACTTCCATAGTTAACTTGGTTTTTCTTCTATACATTGATAAATATTACCTTAAAGAAAATTAGGTAGATTCCGTGCTACAAGTACTTTGAGAATCTTCCGCAGGTTTGTCCCAATTTACCCCCGAATCCCAATTTACCCCATGTCATGGTACCTACGGTACTGTACCGTATGCTTTAGAATAAACTGTCAAAATTTGGTATCTGTCACATTGAATACTGACAGATACAAAATTTTCTTCACTGTCATTTGTCAGTGTTGATTTGTCAACTTGATTAAAATTACGAAAATATCAACAAATCAAACCAATGAAATAGTTGTGAAATTTTGATATTAACTTAATGTTAAGGTTTGTTTAAGTTAAGGTTTTGAAAATAGAGTGAACAGTTTTTTAAACATTTTATAACGCTTATCAAACGTAATTTAATTGTTATTGAGACTACATGTTTCGTGTTGTAACGTTTATCTGATTGTCTATTTTAACTTTAATTTGCTCACATACCAGTTAAGTAACAGGTTTACATCAAAATATTCTAAAAAAATGACTACTACGACTGGAGGTGCACGAAATTTTAAAGTAGTTCTTTTGGGTGACGGATGTGTCGGAAAAACTTCATTATTATTGCGTTACATTGAAGATAAATTTAACGAAAAGCATCTGACTACGCTTCAGGTAACTATGACGTATATGAACTAATTTTGTAAGACTGAGTTAATCCCTTTTGTCGATGTCTATGACTGGATTTTTTTTTTGTAGGCCACATTCTTAAATAAAAGGTTGAATATTAATGGAAATCGTGTCAATCTTTCCATTTGGGATACAGCTGGCCAGGAGAAGTTTCATGCTCTGGGACCAATATACTACAGAAACTCTAATGGTGCGATTCTGGTTTACGATATTACTGATGAAGATTCATTTAGAAAGGTAAAATAAGAATTTGAATGACTGTATCTTAACATTTGTAATGAATATTGTAACTATATTAAACAATATAAAATCAATTATAGGTAAAAAATTGGGTGAAAGAATTGAAGAAAATGTTGGGATCAGATATTAATCTGGTAATTGCAGGAAATAAAATAGACCTTGAACATGAACGCACTGTTTCACTAGAAGAAGCAGAAAGGTAAGAATGAATGTAATCTTCTTAAATATTATTACTAAAGATACATTTTGTTGATAAATACTCTTTATTGAATTATATATTCCAGCTATGCAAAATTAGTAGGAGCTAAACATTATTACACTTCAGCAAAATTAAACCAGGGTGTTGAAGAATTGTTTCTTGACTTGACTAGAGAAATGTTGGAAAGACAAGAACACAATACACAGACTGAAGTAAACAGAACATCACAAGTTGTAGTAGTCGATGATGAGGTACCTGTGCAATCAACCTGCTGTTCAGGACACAGGAGTTCCTAAATTAATAGATTTTTTTGTATTCATAGTTTTCATATTTTAAACTATAAAAATGAAAATAATTTACAATGTATATTATGGTGGCTATACAGAAAAATATTTATAGTAATTTAACAATAAACAAGATTACTTGTAATTTTCCACTAAATTTAATTATGTTATATGACTAAACAGCTAGGTTAATTAAACATTTTATTTTAATATATAATACTGATCTTTAAGAAATAAATATTTATCAAATCAATATAATTTGACATGGGAATTTTGATATTTCTTGACAGTATATCTTAATGAAATTCTAAATTAGTTCTATTAAGATGTCATACAAATATGTGTTTTGAGTGCTATAGTGTATCAAATGACATATTATTTGCCAAAACATAATAAGCTTAGGGGCTGTGAGAGAGGAGGTGGATACACTTACACTGCCAAAATCATAAATATCAATTTGCTTTATTCACGTTTGGTTTAAAAATAGGATATAATGGGTATGTTTAAGATAACCTGTAATTTTAAAATGACTATTTTTGTTATTATTAGAGTTTATAATTTTAGATCATATAGTTTTAATAGGATTAATTTATCTTGGCTACAAAATTAATTGCAAAGAAGATTCACTACTTATTTATTCAAGTCAAGATTTCAAATTTTTATTGTAATTTGTTTTTGCATATTATTTCATATGCGATAAATAGCGTACGGCGAAATTATTTATTGCAGAAGTATGCATATTGGATGGTATTGTGTGGGTGAATAATTTTTATCATGTCAAATCAATGATATTGAAGTGAAGATAACATATCTCATTGACATGACATACCTAAAAGTATAATGAAAAATCATCACAATTATAAATTTGAAAGATTAAACAATACATAATAATATATGTAATTTAAGCTTAATACTTTAGCTTGCGAAAAAAATTTTTTATTAGTAAATGTTTTTGCTTTTCTAGCCTTTTTTATCATCCCACAGCTCAACGTTGTTAAATAATTGAAAAGACTTGCGCCATACGTGTCTTGTCCACCAGATCTCCGCTGAGCGCTCTCGAGCTCTGCTGAAGCTGAGCCATTTCACTAGCTAACATAACTTAACCTAACACCTTAGAAGATGTACATGCAGACTTATCAGCTAACTCTTGTAGAAATTTTAACTTATCTCCGAACATAGTCAAATGATTTGTAAAACAGCTTTACTTTACTACTACCTACTACTTATTACTAATTAGAATGTTGCAACATAATTTTAGGTGATTTCACGAATTATGTAACTTTTACACAGTAACTGGTTTTATATTGAGGTCATGGTGTAGTGTAGGTATAATTGGATAGGTATTATTTATCATAGTATCATAATTTTGTCAACGCACTCTATAACTGGAAGCCCCAAATTCAGATTGACTATTATAACCTTAAATGTAGAAATTTGCTTCCTAATGAAATCGAAGTCAGCCAACTAATTATCTAACATGTTAATAATCACAGAATAATTTTTTAAACCCATTTCGTGTAATAATGTATTAAAAACATCAATAAAATGATATCCATACATGTCAGACAATAAGAATTAAATTAGTCTGTTGAAAACAAAGTTATAAATCATTTCATCAGGCAGTAAGGACTGTCAACAAAAAATAACGAAGACAAGATTATTCACATTTTAATTTACCTATTCGCTGGTAGCTTAAGAGGCTATTCAAGCTGCGTCCGGCTGAATAGGTGAGCACGCAGGATCAACCTGAGGGAATTTGCTAACCAGAGCAGCAGCAGGCTCTAGCCCTAGCAAGAGCAGTGCTCTGCAGAATCTACCACCTGATCGGAATCGTGACCCACTGAGAAGATCCGGTGAGGAACTCAGTGGGCTGTGTCTATAGGTTAGTTCGCTCGTCGAACTCTTCGTCGTAATCGACGAGTTCGATCCATTTCTCTTAAGTGAGCGACGTCACTCACATCGTGATATCTGTAGCACTAATTATCAAAGATTAAGATATATTTGACTAACGACTTTTTCTACTTATGTTTGCATTTAAACAAGTTCCGAATAATAATATTTATTTACTTATTACTACTACCTACCCGTGCGGACGTCTTGTGAGACCACACGGGTAGGTACCACCACCCAGCCTATTTCTGTCTTAAAGCAGTAGGTAATGGATTTCGGTATGAAGGGTTGCGCAGCCGTTGTACTGCTAAAACTGAGATCAGAACCATTGTCTCAAGGTGGGTGGCAGCATTTACGTTGTAGATGTCTATGGGCTCCGGTAACCGCTTAGTACCAGGTGGGCCATGAGCCCACCCATTTAAGCAATAATAAATGCGGAATGCCGATTTGCCGAGCAAAAAAACACCCGCTCGCTGGAAGATCGTCCCTTTGTCGTTTAGAGCTAAACTTTTGATCTCCGACTTAGTTTAAACCCAACCTTGTTACATTAAGCCTTACAACATGAGTACAACAGGAAAGGTGATTACTGAAGCTTCCGCACTCGCAGCTTAACACAAGCCATCAAGAGCAGTCACCCCACAGCACCCCAATATCGCAGGTAACGAGCCGAGTAGAGAGCTCGCTAAAGTCTGAGCAGCACTGGTTCAAGAGTGATATAGCGGTAGCTACCACAGATAGATGTTTGATAAGAACCTGAATCACGCTAACGACATTTGCAAGATTAGATTGCAAATATCAGTTGTCTGCAGAGGTAAAATACTCCACTGATAGGAAATTTCCTCTTTGTTCCTGCCAATGTCTATTGACCTAGTTAACCGATAAATACCAGGTGAACCATGCGTTCCATGAGCATGTGTGTACCCATTTAGAGCGTTAAAAAAAGACGGGCAAACGAACACTTCATAGTTGAAAAATTATTTTCAAATATATTTTTGTAGTATAGGTACATAATATATCCTAAAGTCATATCTTAATACAATCTTTATTACTTTAAAAGAAATATTAGGTACCATTTGCGTGTACACCATAGTTATTACTTTTTTATAATTTAATTGCAATATATCTAAATTTCGCTTGGATAGGTAGAACCGTCCTGCCTATTTGTCGCGCAACAGTGATATTTACCGTTTTGAGTAGTAGGACAAACGTTATACAATAGAAACTTCGACATCACATCTCAAAGCGGGGAATGGCATTCAGTTGTGATGCCTATGGCCTCCGCAACGCAAATAAGTAACGGTAGCACTAGAATAAGTAATGTCAACTACTATTTAGGTCCGAATTGCAATTGGGCATTTCGTGATTTTTAGTGCTGATGTGAGAAAGCCGACAAACACAATTTATAAAAACTCAAATTTTGCACCCGCGTTTCCTCTCAACCGTTTTGCTGATTTTGGTACAATATAATAATCTTATTAGTTTATCTGCTATTTCTTTTGACTTCCTCGTTCTAGAGTCGCATTTCTCACGTCTAAAGGTCGTGACCACCACCCTCTAGAGGTCTCCCTTATATTTCATCATCGTATTGAGTCCTCGACGAGTCACTCTTTACTGGTGGTAGGACCTCTTGTGAGTCCGTACCACCACCCTACCTATTTCTGCCGTAAAGCAGTAATGTGTTTCGGTTTGAAGGGTGGGGCAGCCGTTGCAACTTATATCTGAAGGAGTGTGGCGCATTTAAGTTTTAGATGTCTATGGGCTCTAGTAACCACTAATCACCAGGTGAGCTGTGAGCTCGTCCACCCAACTAAGCAACAAAAAAAAAAACACCATGATGTGTTCATTTGATACAAATCTGTAGAGACCTATCAAATGCGAATTCATTACCTTTTGTCATCGGCATTAGTCAATGAACAACTTTTTAAGATTGTCGCTATCAGAACTGGGCGCCTTAACCAGAAATTTGTGTTTTTTATATAAATATAAAAATAGAAATGTATAAAAAATATAATGTATAAAATTGAAATGAATAAATTGTTAAATATAAATATTTAAGTATTTATAAGTAGGTAGCTACATGATGGGTATCTCAGTAGTAGTTTAACAAAATAGTAATTTTTGAACAAAATTTGGTGAAAATAAAACAATATTTGCAATATAACAATTTTCTAATAGTAACTAATTTATAACAGTTAACACCAGCCAAATAATATTATTTATTGCTTGAGTTCTACCACAATATCTCCTTTTTCAGAGCCATTAACAATTTTAATGCGTTCAACTAGTGCGCATCCCATTCTCCATGTCAAATATGAATCAAAGGCAAATGTGCAATCTCTAACTTTAAGTAACATTCATACTTTTTACACTCACATTATGAATAGTTTCTTTTATACGTGAAACCTTGCAACTATTCACGCCCTGTTTATTTACGTACGCATTGTGAGCTATTGGGCATGGTCCGAAAATTTTGTACTATACGTGTTCAAGGTTGAAATGCAACTGCGATGTCAGTAAGGTAGCGTAAGGTGTGCTGATAAAAGTCGCGCGCGATGTGCTCGGAAGAGTAGTTTTCAAACGCATAAAGATGTTCGTGTGTGCTAAAGGCACGCTTTAAGGCATAAATATGAACTCGCCGAGAACAACGCGCGTGAATTTTTCATAAACTTGGGCTTACAAATTCTCAAACTTATAATCATTAATTGCATTTTAGTCGTAGTCAGTAATAACTTATAGCTTTAAAGAAAACATTTGTGTTTCAACACTAACTACAATGCTGCTAATATGAAAAATATATTTANTTTTATTTTCATTTTATCACCATTACCATTTATTGCCATACTAATTCTAAATAAGGCAGAATCAGATTAGCGTCTTTACTAAATAATCAATTATTAAAATTATCATTGTTTTCAATTACAGAATTTATACCCCTAAGTACCCTAAGTGTTGTTTAAGAGTTGCTCAATTGTTTGTTGTAGCAATGATTCATTATGCGAAGGCAAAGTATGGATTAATGATATTGAAAATTTAACTATTCATGGGCAGGATGGCCAGGTCAAAAAAAGCTAACAAAGTACCTATAGATTTTCGAGTCGATATTGGTTATATTTAACACTTGCAATTTCACTATTTTAGATTGCGATTTTATATTGGAAATCCTTGACTCTCTTGTATCCTAAGCTTCTAATTAGCTCACAAATAAGATTGTTTTTTTTTAAGAAATCATCAATGAACCAAAAAATTCAGAAAATTGTTTGGTAGATTTACTAGATTATTTAAACTTTGATTAGTTTAATTAACCTTTCAAAAGAAACAGGTTATTTTACTAATACTAAGAAATTAAATTCACTCAACATATGCACATCTTGATCAAATAGCAGGGATATTCGTACATATACGTACATCAAAATTAAATGAAGACCATAAGACTTAAAAATATTACTCAAGTTACCTTGCCCAGATTTTAAACAGTTAAATTACCAAGCGTGTAACAACAATAACAAGCTTAAGCTAACCCCGCACATGTGAAGGCCTCTTTTCAACAAATATTATATTTTAACACCATGTTCCATTGCTTCAGTTTATTTTGAAACTTTAAAATGCATTTTTAAATATATGTAAATATATAGCTAATTATTTTTAGAATTTTAATTTATTCGATTCAGGAATGCAATTTTTATATACTATTAATGATTGCAGATTTTCAAACTCGCATTAAGTAGCTGCAAATGGCATCATACAATTATTATTCTATGAAATTGAAGTCCAATTTTCTATTTGCTCTTTGTCAATCTTATTTTCATTTGTCTTGAAAGGTGTTGCATTTGTTTTATTTCACTATCACTTAGTTGTACGTAAGTATATGGTTTAGAAATGCGAAAGTCAAAATTGGCTTCATGAGTTTCATGGGTACTATTATCTACTTTGTTGGTGGAACACATTTCATTTAATTCTGCTGGCTTTTTTGTGACTAATAGTGTTAAGTGTCACTTATCTTTATCAAATTCCTTTGCTACCTTTGCCTTAGATTTGGGCTTTATCTTGGTACTATCATCATTGGTATCTTTTTCTATAACATTAATTTTATTCGAGGTATCATCCTTGGTATCTAAGGGGGGCAAGTCTAATAAATATGGCATCATACTACGACTTTTCTCTTCAGCTGATAGCCACTCCATCTGTCAAAGAAAGTAGTTAAGGTTTTATGAACAAGCTTATAAAAATAGTAAAAAATAGTATTTATGTCAACAAATACTTATGTTTAGGTAAATAAATATATACAAAGGTGCCAGTTTATCAATGCAATGTAGATTGTTCCTGATCTTTCATCTATACTATAATCAGAGTATTAATAAAATTAATGTTGAAATTTCAAAAAAATTAAAAATTCTCATTTTTTTCAATTACTACTTTTCTGAAACCACTAGGGGATCTATGATTTGAAATGGATCACAATAGCATAAAGTATGATTCTAATCTTCAATCTGATTACCTTTTGCCGATGATCTCTGACAGCATCATCACAAATGTCGATACACATTTGTTCGGTGAGACGACCATCATCAGAGGCGTAGGCGGCGGCTTGCCATGCCACACCCAATTTTGAAAGTGCTCTACCAGACATACCAGCTGTTCTCGTTGCCAAGGTCGAACACAGAGCACCATAGTCAAATTGATCAACGCTTAATCGTCTAGAAAAATGTTTTTATTGTAAATTTTAAAATGTTTATACAAAAAGGCAGGTAATCCGAAACAATCAAACAAACAGAAAATCAATATTAATACCAAAGTCTCAAGTTCATGTAACGCCCGTGTTCAGAACTTCAGTCATCACCTTAGGGCCCTCTAGTAAGTCCGCGGTGAAAAACATCGACTTTACTAACTCGATCAGCAGACGGTCATTTTGTATGGAGAATAATACTTTTTATTTACAATTTTTAACATTGACATAACATTTATATAGACATGTTAACATGGGAAAGCAATTGCAATAGTTGTGGCAGCTAATAGCCTTTGAGAAATGTCGCGTTCATCTATACCATTAGAACATTTATTTTCTATTTTAACAGATGAATCCGCAACGATTGGCGACGTGCTTTCAAGCGAATCAAAACAGGTGCCAACCTTTGGTGGTGTAGTAATACCAATATAATCTATAATGATCTGTTTTAAGGCACTGTAAGAAGCGCTCATGGCGCCCCTTGCTTTGTTGTAGCTCGACAAATGTATTTTTAATTCAGATTGATTTATAGGTCCCGGCGTCATAACACGGGCACAAATTCATTGAAAGGTCCGAGGCCGCCTCATATTACCGCTATAATCGTGTGCAACGAACACTCTGCACCATAGGTAAATTTGCCTCTGAATAATACAGTGAATAGTAAAGCATAGTACATACCTCTTTCCTTCAGATGCTGGTTGCAGAACAAATTTATCAAAATAAAGGCGAATCAATCTTTCTCTCTCTTCAAGAGCTGGCAAACCAAATTCAATCATTTTGTCGAGACGGTCATTGATAGCAGAATCAAATTGTTGAGGTGTGTTCGAGGCCAAAACCAACATAATCCTGCTGCTTTGGTCAGAAGTTCTGTAGAGGAATGCATTCAATGCTGCTCTTAAATCCTCACTGATTTTTTCTGAAGAACGTTTTCTCAAGAATGCGTCTGCTTCATCAATGAAAACAAGAACACCTTTCCTGCTGGTGTTTGCCCAGTCAAATACTTTATGGATAGCTGCTACTGCATCTTTGCCCATAGGAGCAACATCACCACCCGTCATTATGGCATAATCCATACCAGAATGTTTTGCAAGTTTCTAAGGAAAATGAAAAATTCATCATTATATCACATCTACATTTTGAAATAAATTCAATTTAAAGTTACATATTTAATTACCTTGGAAAACAATGTTTTTCCTGTTCCAGGAGGTCCATACATGAGCAAGTTTCTATAAAAACCTTTATTCAATCTAGTATTTTTTGTAGCAATCGCAATGTCTCTCAATCTTTTTTCCAGATTTGGAGCTAGAACTACACCAGCCAGAGCATCCTGAGGTTTTCTAAAACTCGAAACAGCTTTTGAAACTGTCAATATAGGATGTTTAACTGCCTCTAACAATGAAAATCTTGAGGTTTCATTAACAAGTGTGGGTTTTCCTAAAAATGAAATCAGTGCACATCAATTTTAGAAAACCATGAGGTTCTAGATTATGTGTTAATTACATTAAGTAGTCGTTCGGCATATTATGAGGTCACATGGATATATACTACAATCCTGTCTATTAGTATTTACTGTGAAGAATTCATGCTTAAGTTAGCTTCAGTTAATAAATCAGTTTGAAGAGTGGAAGTAGCTATTTGACACTATTGGGACTTCATCTTCAGTCTTAAAACTTGTGATAGTATTCACATAGTATGGCATATGGGGTCCAGTAATTACTTTTCTCCAAATATGTTGTGATAACTAAAATAAAGTAATATATTGCAAATAATAAAAAAAAAACATTTGGGGTGTTCAGGAGAAATTGATGGACATATTCTTTTTCCTACAGTAAATGAGTTTCAAGCAAGCAAGTATATATCATACAATCTACACTCATGGATAAGTTTAGAGTAGAAAATTATATTTTATAGTTTATATTTTTGACTTATTTATTAGGTCTAGTGTAAATTAAATCTACAAATAAACTGAGAACGCCAAACCCTATCACCACTCAAGTTGCCAGAGATATTACTAGAGTATGTAGAATATGAATATCAAAGTTGGAGGTACACAGTTATTTTAAAAAACAAAAAACTTGGAGATAATGGCGGAGAGAATACCCAATAGTATACAAACACTCGCTTGCATATGTATGTAAATGGAAAATTGTGGACAGAGATCACCAGATGGTTTGTTATTAGTGTGCCCTTAACTTCTTTTAGGTAAGAAAGAAGGTCCAAGAAGTTCAAGGGGTTACAGCAAGGGCAATGACTATGTAAAGAAGACTGAAATAGTAAAAGTTTTTAACTTATAAGTTGTTATTTAATGTTGCTTTTATTATCTGGTCATTAGAACGGACAACAAAACAGTTCAAACAACTACCAATTGCCGGTCTCAAAAGTGATTTGGGAGTTTAATAGCAAAGCCACTCACCCAAGAAAAATCTACTTTCTATCACATTGATAGCAAGAGCGATTGGGAAGGAACACAAAACGAATTGACATGTTAAAAAAAATTCTTCATTTATATGGAGTAATTTCTCTCATAACCTCTTTGAACTCTTTAATTTGACTCTTAAGACAAATAATCGTAAAAATGTTGTTTATTCATAATTATTTATATGTTTATTGAAAATTATATTTGTTTTAACGTATTTATTTGTTATTACAATACCCTAAAATTAGACACAGACAAAAAGTAAATTTTACTTACTCTTGAAGACTGAATTTTTTGTCAGTACGCTAAAATTTGTAGAAAGATAAATGAGTGTGTGATGGATTAAAATACAAACAACCTTCATAACAATCAACATTTCTACCTGTTATTCACACTGCAAACTATATCAATCCTGTCATGTGTTTAAAAATCATTTTTACGTAAAGTGTTATCATTTTGTTTTTAAATACAATTAGTTACTTTAGTAAGAAAATTTGAGTTATTAAATAATTCTTGGTACATTAACCAATTCATATTTGTACAAACTGACACAACCAACATCAGATTCATTAATTTAAATATGTATAATAAATATGATAAATATAATAATATGTATTAAATAAAATTATCTGCCAATTATACTAATGAATGAAAAACTAGAAAGAATAATAACTTTTTACATAAAGATGATTAAAATAAATAGAAATTTATGTTTTTTACCAATGCGAGCCTCAATGAATCTAGCTGCAACCGATGTGGCTCCCTTTGCTGAATAAACACCAAGTGCCAATAATGACAAACCCCCTGCAGCAGCTAAAGTTTTATCCCAATCTGTCACTAATGCATTCAGACCAGAACCTACTACGCTCCCAGCTGTCCTATTAACATACAATAATTACAATACATTACAATCAATTGTGTAATGTTTGTATGATAAAGTTAGTGTATGGAAAAGTGAAGTTATACAAAAATTAACGAGGTAAGATATCTAAAATCCAATTTCATAAACTCACTTTATACTTTCTAGAATAGTAACTCTGTTCTCAGCAGCCTTTAGTCTAATTTGTTCAAGATTTATGTCTCGATTTTCTCTGTCAGCCTGCGCTTTGGCTCGAGCTTCTGCTTCTATTGCTCTCAATTTATTTTTCTCTCGCAGCTCCATTTCATGTTCTATAGTAGCTCTCCTTAAGGCTTCCTGTTTTGCTACACTCTCTTCTTGTCTAAAATAAAGGTTGTTTAGTTAATTTATAATATTAGGGGACTGATATTGTGATTTTAATCTAATTGATATCAATGTATTTTATATTCTAATGAAAAGTATACTCAAATTATCTTTCAACTGTCTTACTTTCTGAGAATTTCTTCTTGAGATTTCTGTTGTTGTACAAGTTGTTCTTCGTAACGTTTTTTAGCTAATTGATCTTGGTATTGAGCTCTCATTTGGTGCTGTTTTGTTTCTTCCTATAACAGATGAGAATTTATTATTATTAAATGCCTCTAAAAGAAACATCTTCATGAACTTTTTTACCTCTTTGACTGATCTATAAAATTAAAGTAACCTGTAATGTTTTTCGTCTTTCTTCATAATCAACTTTCTTTTGTTCTACTTTAGCTTGTTCAATGGCTGCTTCATATTCCTTAATCTTGGCCATTTGCTCCTGTTGTCGAGTACTTTCCTGAAGTTTACTAAGCTCCAAAGCATCTTTTGCATGTCCTAAAAGAGTAATTCCAATCAAATAACATATTATGCTGTACTTTATCAAATAGATGCAAGCAGTAGCAGCAGAAACACTTTCATATATTATAAGGGAGTGATCAACATGCAAAAATGATATACACCATAAAACAAACGACTATCAGATTGTTATTTAAGTTCAATAGTTGTTCACTGTTTAACTTATCATGCATTTTATACCTGTTTCGCTTTGCTAATTTTTGCGATAAGTGTTTAAAATACACAGTGAATTTAGGGCTGAGTATAGTGGAAGATACATATGAAAATAAAAACGGAAGTCTTTTGTTAGGCTATCCACTTTTAATACTTTGATGTACATCATCAATCAAACTAAATGAATTCATATCAATTGCCGTAGTTCTTAAAAATCATTCTAAAATGTAAGGTTATGCGGTGGCATTATGCAATAGCGCGCAACGTGATTAAAAGTTATAAAATATCTTACTTGATCGTTCCAGCTCTTTTGCAGCCGATGCAGCTCGCTCTAGGGCACTTGAATCAAACCGGTAGGCTTCCATGGCTTTCCTCTCTGATTTAGAAAGGTTAGTAGAAGGTGCGGCAACACCAACCCCATCGGCTGGTGGATCGTCCGAAGGAGGAGGTTGTGGAGGTTTTGAACTGTACCCAAATAGCCACGACATCGTGACTTCAGTAAATAATTTTCAAGTTGTGTTAGTAAACTACTTTCATAAGAAACACGATTGTTCACAAAACTGATGATATCTAGTAGAGTAGCGGCTATGGAAGGCACGACAGCCGGAGTGGTCAAACCACAAACTGTCAAACTGAAAGTAGGCAGTAATTCTATTTTCCAACAAACAAGGCCAAGGTATCACACCATACAGCCTAATCTTTTATATCTTCTGTTGATATAAAGAATGAGGAAGTTTCCAATCGCTTAAAAACAAAAAATAATTATATAAATTTAAAGACAATAAAAAATATTAAAGATAGTAAAAAAATACGGCGGAACGCACTAAAACTGGACGAACTATAATTACCTCCGCACGGAGACTCGTGTTTTACGCTCGCATTACTATCTCAGACGTGGTGTATGTGGGCTTAGACTTTTTGACTCAAATTCGTTCTATACAAGCGCAGAAATAAGATACCTACCTACTTAATCTTTTATCCGCCGTACTTTTACATCTTATTTATTACCGTTTTATTTGTATTTTGGTAAGAAACTATCTACGGAAATACAATACCTCAACTCGCTTAGTACTAAATGAGTCAGTGCAATCCAACTATAATATTTTGTATAACTACCTATTATAGTACCATTAAACACCTTAAAATAGATTTCTGTTTGTTATTTACCGTTTTATCCTTTTAAAGAAATAAGCAAAACTACGAATCGGCACAAAAATCTCTCGTGAGCTTGACCGCCTGGAACCGTACCCGCCCGACCGGTGGCAACTCGGTGACCCATCGTAGATATTGAACAAACAATAAAATCGATATCAATATTTGTAGTAAAATATTTATTTAGGTACTCTAGATCTAGATTTAAGGTAAGTATTCACTAACGGATCAATGAATCGAAGATCTAATAAAGTTATTAAAATGTTTTACAGATTTGCCCAAGAAAGCTAATGTGACGACGCCATTGGCTATATGCAGGTGTAAAGAGAAGGCCAACTATGCACGGTAAAAGCTTTTTTTTTTCGGGCCGAGGCCCGAACCTCTTACGTTCTCTCCGCGCCTAGGGAGCGCGCGGGGTATGTGGGACTTGACGATCTGCAAGGTGTTGGGAGCAGACCGCGGGCCCAAGGAATTTTAGGGCCCACCCACTAAACGACTCCCCTGCACTCTTACACCTGACGTCCGATCTCCATCCGGGGTCAAAACCCGGTCAGAGTAGGGGGTTCCCGCGGTCAACACTACAACCAGACACGCGGCGCCACCCCGAGGACGCCCGACCGACGGGTCGTCGAGGCGATTGTCGACGAACAACGACATCAGTCTCCGCGGTACGGCGGCCCTGCCAGACCGCCCGGGCGATGCCGCTATTGTTACCTCGCTGGGCCAGAACCAGCCTGCCAGGTCGGAGCGCGATACACCGCCGATCGGGTTGCTCTTCCACAGTATGTTCGGCGACGACAGCGACGACGAAAATGCGGACCGCGTCGCAGTCCGCAGCCGCCGACGCGCACCCCGTCCTCCTGGTGCCAGCGCGCTAGAGTGACGGTAACGTACGGCGCAGCCTCAATCTCCTTAGGTCGCCCCGTGACCATCACCGGGAGGAGACTGCCTCCTCATAGGGGCCGGAGCTGGACAAACGCCCTCCTCCGAACCCCGGCTCGGCGGCGGCGGCACGACGCCGAGAGGGAAGATGAGCTCTCCCTCTCCCGTTCCACCGCCTCCTGCGGGATGGTGGACTCGCAGAAGTCGAGCATCGCTTGCCAGGACTCGTCGCTGCCGAGCATCGTAGCCACGACGGTCGGAAGCGACAAGTCCGGTCCTATTTTTGCAAGGAGGACAAGGCGCCGCTCCGCGATAGCGGGGCAGTACGCGACCGTGTGCTCCGCGGTGTCCTCGTTGCAGCCACTGCAATGATGGCACTTCGGCGTCGGCTCCCTCCGGGCAACGAGGTGCAGGTAGCGACCGAAACAACCGTGTCCCGTGAGCACCTGCGTTGCTCGGAAGGTGAGACGTCGCCGGTCGCTCGACGGTCCGTCGCCTGTAGGCGGGGTCCGCCAAGCGGCAAGACCACGCCTCGAGCATGGCAGGCCGAGATTAAAGCTTCCGCGCTCGAACTATGCACGGTAAAAGCTAGAATAACTCCAGAGCATAAAGTTAACAGCAAGCCATATCATTGTGCATTTGTATGTAATGAAGAGACTGAACAGATTATAAGCGTATGTTGCGAAGATCGTGCCGCCAGCCCGGGAGGTTGTAAGCACACTATAGCTCTAGTTATGTGGGTGGACCGACGATCTAAAGAACCATCTTCTACGTCTGTGAAATGTTATTGGACAAAAGCAAAGCTTTCTATTGTTGGAAGTAACTTAAAATTTATTAAAACTGCTGATTTGGTTCCACCGACATAAAAAAAACTAAGGCTCCGAAGGTTGTTCTGCCTTCTGAATTCGCCGCATATGTTTCCACTGAAAGAGACCGACAGATTAATAATGTCTGAAGATTCTGTCATACCATCACTAATGTCGTGGCCTTGGAGTATTTAATTGCCTGAAGATTTAATGTTTTTCTGCCTGAATTTTGTTTGAACTTTATCTTATTTTTGCCCATTATATTATGTACTTGTGTGCCCTTATTTTTTGTTTTTATTTTAACACTGGCTTCCATATCCACATCAAAACAGTCCATTGGCACAGAAATAAGATTGTCAAGATCTTTAATTACTTCATCACTCTGAACACATTCAATAAATCCTATGGATTTTGGGCAACAGAGGCTGGAACTTCCGTTGAAAGTCCTTTTTTATAATAGTCTGCTCGACGACGCTTCGCAACTATGAAAAGAAAGCGGTCGCCCCGTTAAACTTCTAAACTTCTGTTCACTAAGTGAAGAAGTCAGAAGTTTAGGATAGTCATGAACTAGTACATACATAAGACACGAATTATTCTACAAGAATAGCCTAACTACTTTATTAATAATATTTACAAAAATGATGGGTATGCGAATTGGCTCTAAACAAATATATTTTAATCGTACTTCCATAGAGTTTGTTATTAATTTTACATCTATTATATTAAAGTACTGCAATTTAAATAACATGATCCTAACAGTTTCATGACTATAGTGGAGAAATGGAATCAGACGTCTTGAATGCTGATTATCAGCTACTTGTTAACAATAATGTTTTAGCTCGTTTATTTAAATTATGTTAATATAAATATAATGTTCCTAACAATAGAATACAATTGAGTCTTCGATGTGATGTTTTAAAAGGAGACATAAACTGTATTGAGACATTTCTGAGCAGGCCCAACAAAATTGCTTAATTACTAAGCAATTTTGTGGGTTTTGAGCTTGTTGACCATATACGGAACCTAGTAGAAACAAAAAAAATCTGCTTAAAAATGTTTGTCCACTAATTGGGGTTATTAATGAAATAAACTTAAAATGTACATGTAAATGACATCAATTTATTAAAATAAATTATCTACTTTGTTAAGTATTGCATATTAGTCTTAAACCTATTAGAATGGGCTTTTTAACTACATTAAAAAACAGTTATCGTTATAAAGTTCTTTTCGAACATTGCAGGTAGATATCATAAATAATCAATACATAATATTTGTCATGTAATAAAGGGTTAAATTGACAATAGAAAGTTATTTCAGTCGTAAAATTTCTTACCCAGTCAAAAACCGATAATGTTCATACAATATTTATAAAAAATCAGCAATGTTAGGATAGATGTTTTAAAATAAGTAGTTTTTGATATAGGTACTAAGTTATATGAACTTTCCAGATCTTTCCAGAACTCAGATATGTACTGGTTTTATTACAAAGTGCATGCACCGAAAACCTGTGTACTTGAAAACTTATGTTGAATACAAATAATTATTAAGGTACAATTTCGAAAATATTTAAATAGTCACGTATCGTTGTGATGTTTATACAATAAATAAATAAAAATAAGTAGTAAATTAGGTAGCCCCATCTTACGCATATACCTACTACAAAAACGCAGCCTCGGTAGAACCAGTCTGCGCTGTTTATCATAAACTATTCGTTTATTTTATAATACATTAATAAACTTAGTTGCCAGAAACATCCATGATAATATTATTTGGTTTATATACTGTTTTTATAGACTTAAAATATGTCCACCAGTGTGAACAAATTCATATAGTAATGGAAACTTCCTCCATTTTAATCTTCGATTAGAAAAGCTCAAATTTGATGGCACTGGAAGAGATGATTGGTATACACTTTAAGTAGAATTAACAAAGTTAAATATGATTTAGGTAATTATAATTATTAATCTAGCCGCATTTTTAACAAAATGTTTGTTTATCGTACAGTTAATAAACTTTGTTTATGCGTTTAAGCCGCGCCAATAAAGAAACGAATCCAAAATGGCGGCGGCGATCATGCGCTCTCACTCTAAATTATCTTTAGTCGCACACGGCGCGTACTGCATGCAAATTTTTTTATCAGTTATGACTTTGTTGGTGAGTTCGAGTTTTTTCACTTTCAAGTTGTGCGACTTAAATGACTGGCAGCAAAAGTGTCTACGCAAGTTGCAGCCCAGATGAGACACCTGCCCCTCTGCCAGGGCATAAAGTAAAGTACATTCTCATTTGTTATTTTATATTTTTTTACAATAAACAACTTTTTCCTTCTTTAAGTCTTTCTTTTTATTTGTTGACCCTACCATCTGTCAGGACAGGTACATAGACGACATTTTCGATTCGTTTCTTTATTGGCGCGGCTTATAATAATGAAATACCTATTGTACTAATAGTGATCTCTATTGAGAAATTAAAATATAATACAGAGATTACTATACGATCTATTAGTTGATTTTTGCTTTGGAAAAAAATCCAAGTTTAGCTTATTTCAACAATTTACACTGAATCATAAATAAAAACTATAAACATCAATAATACTTGTTATTGACACATCAAGGAAGCTACAAATTCATTTATTTAGAACACAGAAAGGTGATATGAAAATAAGCACTTGTTGGTTTTTATTTGTCTTGCATTCTACGCGATCACACATAGTTTATCTGATAGAGTTAAAGCTTTGTTTGTAGCTATATTATAATAT